GGGGAAGGGAGGAGGGAGGAGGGCGAAAGGGATAATTCAGCACGTGTGTGGTGATGGGTTGTAATTAGTATTTGGGTGGTGAACATGATGTAATCTATGCAAAAATAGAAGTATAATGATGTACACCTGAAATTTATACAATGTTATAAACCAATGTTACTGCAATAAACAAAAAATTTTAAAAAATTAAAAATAAAAGAAAATCAAGTAAAAAAGAAAAGAAAAAGAAAATCAGTAAGGAAATATTTGACTCGAACTACACTTCAGACCAAATGGACCTAACAAACATATACAGAACATTCTATCCAACTACAGCAGAATACACCTTCTTCTCAAGTGGACACAGAGCGTTCTCTAGAACAGATCATATGTTAGGTGACAAAATAAGTCTGAACAGATTAAATAAGACTGAAATCATGTCAAGAATCTTATCCAGCTACAAAGGTGTGAAACTAGAAATCAGGAACAGAATGAAAGCTATAAAGTTCACGAATATGTGGACGTTAAAAAAAACACTCCTGAACAATCAGTGGGATAAAGAAAAAACCAAAATTTAAAATAAAATTATCTTGGGCTGGCCTGGTGGCTTAGCGGTTAAGTGTGCGCGCTCCGCTGCTGGCGGCCCAGGTTCAGATCCTGGGCACGCACCGACGCACCGCTTCTCTGGCCATGCTGAGGCCGCGTCCCATATACAGCAACTAGAAGGATGTGCAGCTATGACATACAACTATCTACTGGGGTTTGGGGGGAAAATAAATAAATAAATAAAATCTTAAAAAAAAAATTATCTTGAAACAAACGAAAATGGAAAGAAAACAGGCTAAAACTTATGAAAAGCAGCAAAAGCAGTTTTAACAGTAAAGTTTTTGGCAATCAATACCTACTTCAAGCAAAAAGAAAAATCTCAAATAAACAACCTAACTTTACACCACAAGGAATCAGAAGAACAAACTACACCCAAATTTGGGGGAAGAAAGGAAAAGAACAAAGATCAATCAGAGCAGAGACAAAAGAAATACAGGTTAGTAAAACAATAGAAAACAGCAACAAAGCTAAGAGTTGTTTTTCGAAAAGAAACAAAATCGAAAAACGTTTAGCTAGACTAACTTAGAAGAGAGAGAAGATTCAAATAAATAAAATCAGAACTGAAACAGGAGACAAAAACTGATACTGCAGAAACACAAACATCTTAAGAGAATACGATGAACTCAATTAACTAGAAGAAGTGGAAAAATTCCTAGAAAAATACAATCTATCAAGACTAAATCATAAAGAAACAGTAAATCTGAATAGACCAATAATGAGTAACTGAGTCACTAATCAAAAATCTCCCAACAAAGAAAAGCCCAGGACCAGATAGATTCACTGGTCAATATTACCCAAGATTTTAAGGAGAATTAACGTCAATCCTTCCTAAACTCTTCCAAAACAATGAAGAGGAAGGAAAATGTCCAAACTGAATTTACAAGGCCAGCATTACCCTGATACCCAGCAAGATATGGACTACAAGAAAATTAACTTACAGGCCAATATCCTTGAAGAACATAGAAGGAAAAATCCTCAACAAAATACTAGCAAACCAAATTCAACAGCATGTTCGAAGAAGCTTACACTATGATCAAGTGGGATTTATCCCTGGGATGCAAGGATGGTCCATCACACGCAAATCAATAAACGGGATACACCATGTTAACAGAATGAAGGATAAAAATCATATGAAAATTCAATAGATGCAGAAAAAGCATTTAACAAAACAGCATACTTTCATGTTAAAAACTCTCAAGAAAATAGATACAGGAGGAAGGTACCTCAATATAACAAAGGCTATATACGATGTGCTCACAATAACATCAAACTCAACTGTTAAAATCTAAAAGCTTTTCCTCTAAAAGCAGGAACAAGACAAGGATGCCCACTCTCCTCACTTCTACTCAACACACTTCTGGAAGGCCTAGCCAGAACACTTGGGCAAAAAAAAAGAAACAAAAGGCAGAATCACAAAAGAGGAAGTAAAACTGTGTTTGCACAAGACATGATCTTATAGATAGAAAACTCTAGAAGCCACCGAAAAACTCTCACAGTTTTCCTGAAACAATTTCTGTAAAGTTGCAGGATACACAATCAATATACCAAAATCAGTTGTGTTTCTATACACTCAGTGAAATATCTGAATAAGAAATTGAGAGCAATCGCCCTGACAATATCATCTAAAAGAAATACGTACGAATAAATTTAACCAAGGAGGTGAAAGATCTGGACTCTGAAAAAAATAAGACACTGACGAAAGTGAAGACACAAACAGAAAGACATCCCATGTTCTTGGAAGAATTAATATTGTGAAAATGCCCATATCCCCCAATGTGACGTACAGAATCACTGGAATTTTTCACAAAAATAGCAAAGCAATCCGAAAATGCATATGGAACCACTAATGACATCAAATAGCCAAAGCCATCTTGAGTAAGAAGGTCAAAGCTGGAGGTATCACACTTCTTGATTTCAAACTTCATTAGGAAGCTATAGTAATCAAAACAGTGTGGTACTGGCATAAAAACATGCACACAGAGGAATGTAACAGAATAACCCAGAAAAAGTCCTATCCATATATGGTGAACTAATCTTTGACAAGGGCGCCAAGACCACACAATGGGGAAATGATGGTCTCTTCAATAAATGGTGTTGGGAAACCTGGTCATTCACATGCAAAAAGATGAAATTGGAGCCCTATCTTCCACCACTAACAACAATGAACTCGAAGTGGATTAAAGAGTTAAATATAAAACATGAAAATGTAAAATCTCTTGAGAAAACAGAGAATAAGGCACTGGACAGTGGTCTTGACAATGATATTTTGGATATGACACCAAAAGTCCAGGGAAAAAACATCAAAAATTAACAAGTGGAACTACATCAAACTAAAAAGCTTCTGCACAGCAAAAGAAACAATCAACAAAATCAAAAGCCAACCTACAGAATGGGAGAAAATATTTACAAGCCATGGATCTCACAAGGGGATAATATTTTAAAAATATAAGGTACTCATACAACTCAAGAGCAAAGAACAATCTGATTAAAATACGGACAAAAAATTTGATTAGACATGTTTCCAAATTTGATACACAAATGGCTAATGGGTATATAAAAAATTGCTCTTCCTCACTAATCATCAAGAAAATGTAAATCCAAAGCACAATGAGATATTACCTCATACCTCAGGATGGCTATCATCAAAAACAGGAGGGATAAGTGTTGACAAGGGTGTGGAGAGAAGGGAGCCCTTGCTCACTGTTGGTTACAATGGAAATTGGTAGAGCCATTATGAAAAAGAGTATGGAAGTTCCTCAAAAACTTCAAAGTAGAACTACCATATGATCCAGCAATCCCATTTCTTGGTATAAATCCAAAGGAAATGAAATCAGAATGTGGAAGAGATAATCTGCCCTCTCATGTTCACTGCAGTGTTATTCACAACACACAAGATATGGAAACAACTTCGGTGTCCATTAAAGGAATGCGTGGAAGAAAAAAAGTGTGATGTACACACACAACTGGAATATTATTCAGCCTTGAAAAAAAAAGGACATCCTGGGGCTGGCCCCGTGGCCTAATGGTTAAGTTTGGCACACTCTTCTTTGGCGGCTGGGTTCGGTTCCTTGGCCCGGACCTACACCACTCGTCAGTGGCCACGCTGTGGCCATACAAAAGAGAGGAAGACTGGCACAGATGTTAGCTTAGGGTGAATCTTCTTCAGCAAAAAAAAAAAAGAAAGAAAAAAGAAAAGGAAATCCTGCCATGTGACCATATGGATGAATCTGGAAGGCATCATGCTAAGAGAAATATGCCAGTTAGAGAAAGACAAGCACTATATGATATCATTTATATGAGGAATCTAAAACAAACAAAAAATGTTGAACTCATAGACAGTAGCATGCCAGGGGCTGGGAAGTGGGCAAAATAGGGAATTGTTGTTCAAAGGTACAAACCGGGCTGGCCCAGTGGCGCAAGCAGTTAAGTGCGTGCACTCCACTGCGGTGGCCCGGGGTTCGCGGGTTTGGATCCTAGATGCACACTGACGCACCACTTGTCAAGCCATGCTGTGGCAGCATCCCATATAAAGTAGAGGAAGATGGGCATGGATGTTAGCTCAGGGCCAATCTTCTTCAGCAAAAACAACAAGAGGAGGATTGGCATCAGATGTTAGCTCAGGGCTGATCTTCCTCACAAAAAGAAAGGTACAAACCTTCAGTTATAAGATGACTAAGTTGTGAGGATCTAAATTACAACATGGTGACTACACTTAATAATACTGTATTTTACACTTGAAATTTACTAGGAGAGTATATGTTCAGCGTTCTTACCAAAAAAAAAATTACTATTTGAGGTGGTGGAAGTGTTCATTAATTTGATTATGCACTTATTTCATAATGTATACATATATGAAATTATGACGTACCCTTTAAATATATACCATTTACTAGAACGACAATGCTAGAACAAAACAAAGAAAAAAAACAAAAGAAAAGAGATCTAAACTAAACAGTACAAACCCTGCAAGAGGGTCTTGAAAAGCAGCCCATGGCCCAGGTAACTAGTGACCATGACAATACCTCCAATTCCAACCACAGGCAGGCACAAGGAAATGTCAGCTAACTGAAGCCACCAAACCCCCAGGACACAGAAGTCCCATGGAGCTGGACACGTTCACTAGCCAGGGAGAGGGCAGGCAAGGTGCCATCCATTAGTCCCACTGCAAGACTATTGACCTGGAATCCTTCCCTATGAGGGTTCAGTACAGAGGGACTGGGGCTGCAGGGGAGAGAAGAGGGCAGTGCAAACGCCCCAGCCCTAGTAACACAGCAAGGACCAAGAAAGCTGGGGAAGCAAGCAGTGCCCACATTCCCCAGTAAGAAGGACAGAGCACCCCTTGGGGAAAGGGGGGTGAGGCAGGATACAGAGCCTAGTCCAGGTCACGGGGGGAGAGGAGGGCCTTACCCAGCGAGGATATGAGTGCAAAGTTCTCCAGCATCACATCCTGGTACAAGTGCCTCTGAGCTTCATCAAGGAGCCTCCATTCCTCCCAGGAGAAGTACACAGCAACGTCTTCAAAGGTCATACTGTCCTGTCAAGATGGGGACAGATGAAACCATGAACTTTCTCTCTCTCAGAACCCACAATCCACCACTTCACACATCTACTCCACACTCTTCCTCCTCCAGAGCTCCCCACCTCAGAGCAGATATCAGGCCCTGCTGCCACTGATAACCTCTCTCTTCTCACTGTGTTCAGCCTGCAGCAACAACAGGCAGGGGGACACACAGATGTTATCCAAGCTCTGGGCCTGGCAGGCAGGGCTCCATCCCTTCTGCCTGGCAATTCCCCTGCATCTCCCAGATTGTACCTACAAGACACAGCTAAACATGGGCTCATGCTTCACCCCTGAGTCCCCACTACCAGGGCCTTGGAGTCCTCAGCTCACACTACCTATGTAAACGCAAATCATTCTGGAGATACCATCTCTCTCACATCTTCAGTCCCCACAGCTCTGCCACCTCCCTGCCTTACAATACAGGCGTCTCCCTGCCCTCACCCATGGACGTGGCACACGGCATCCAGAGGGTTCTGACAAACTCAAACACAGTCCAGTACCTTCCCAGTTTTGATGGATCCCACAGCCGGGGAAAGCCCCAAATGCTGCTTTGAAGGGCTCCCCACCTCCCTCTGATCCTTGATCAAGATCAGCCACCCAGAACCACATGGGAATTTCAGATCCCCAGGACCCTCTTCCACTTCAGTGATGCACTTTCTGTCCCCTTTGCAGCCACAATCCTCCCCTCTCCGTTCAATCTTCCTTAAAACCCCAGCCCTTGCAGTCTCCCTGCCAGGCACAGTGACTCTCACAAATGACTACATTCACCCCACATCTTACCCACCAGCAAGACTGAAACACCCCAGACCCCATCAAGGCTCACCACACAATTCCGGTGAATGTGAACAGTAGGGAATTAGCAGAAGCCCCAGTCTCACTGTCAATTTGTCTCAATTACTCCTCTGCCTGTGAAGTCATCTCACACCCACTCATCCTATGGAAGCCTTGGCCACCTGCCAGACCATCCTCTCTCCCACACCATTCCATGGCCACTTCTCTCCCTCACCTGTGTTTCTCATACTCAGGAACCTCCACTAGGTGCAAAGCAAGAGAACCATTCCTTAGCATGCACCCTAGTCTTTCTGACTTGCTAACAGCATTATCACCATATCCTGCATTATACTTCGTAAATGTGATCCACAACTCCACCCTGGTCCTTTTCTTTTACTTTGTAAAAGTAAGTAAAAACTCCACCACTTTTTCTTTTACTTTGTGAGGAAGATTGGTCCTGAGCTAACATCTGTGCCAATCTTCCTCTATTTTGTATGTGGGATGCTGCCACCACATGGCTTAATGAGGAGTGTCTAGGTCCATGTCTGGGGTCCAAAACTGCGAACCCCAGGCCACCAAAGCTGAGTGCACGAACCCAACCACTATGCCACCAGGCCAGCCCTCCAGCCACCACTTTTGAAAGCTTCCATGCCAAACCCCTCCCCAGATTTCCAGACCTGTGTCTCCAGCTGCCCACTTGATGCCTCCACTCAGTTCTCTGAAACATCTCAGACTCTTAACGAGGCCAAAACAAAACTTCTGATATTCCCAAAGAAAATAAACCTACCGACAACTCCCACATCCCTCTGGATGGAATTCCCATCCCTTCAGTGGCTACAACCCAAAACCCTGGAGTCTTCTCTAACCTCTCTCTCAACTTTGTTGCTGTTAGTGCCATCCAGTGGATTCAGACTCCTAGATACCCTGTCTACAGCAGAGCAGAACCCTGCCCAGTCTTGTCTGTGGCATCCTCTCATCTTCCAGAGCTGTATCAGACAATGCTCTATTGTCATTCATAGGGTTTTCACAGTCAATTCTTTTGGAAATCGGTGGCCAGGTTCTTCTTCCTCATCTGTCTTAATCTGGAAGCTCTGCAGAAACCTGTCCACCATGAATGACCCTGCTGGTATTGAAGTACTGGTGGCATAGCTTTAAGCATTACACCAATAACCAGCTGCCACAGTATGACATCTGACAAAAAAGTGGTGTGGTTCCCTGACCGGGAAACAAACCTGGGCAGTGGCAATAAGAGTGCCAAATCTTAACTAATGGACCAGCAGGGCTGGCCCTCCCTCAACTACAACATCCCAAAATCAACTTGGCCCTTCTTCAAAAATGGACCCAAAATACAAACATTCCTCCCACCTCCATGGCCACCACTCTGGTCCATCAACACGCATCCGGCTTATAGCAGTAACCTCCTCCTGGGCTCCCTGCCTCCTCCCTTAACCCCACAGTCTGTGCACTTCTCTGCAGCCAGATGGAGCCTATTAAGACCTGGGTAAGATCACCGATTTCCTCTTATCCAAACCTCTCATTATCTCCATAAACAGACACCCAACTTCTCAGGCAGCCACATCAAGGCCTCATTACTGACCGCCCCACGCCCACCTCTGTTCTTCACCAAAGAATGGAGACCTGTGTACGCTGTTCCCAGCTGAGTCACACCTCCAAGCATTTATTTGTACATGCTGTTACCTGTTCCTGAGATCAACTTTCACATCTGTTTATACTGACGACCAGAAATTCGAACACCTCTATGACCCTTGGCCTGCACTCAGAACACAGGGCTTGGGGGTATCCTCAGGGTCCCCGCACTCAAGAGCTGGGATTACAGCAAGTATTCCTGCTGAGTCTCAAGACACCACAATCCCAGACACCACACGGGTCGTGTCCTAACCAATGAGGGAGTGGGGCACTCTCTCCTTCCTTATATAGGTTCCATAAATGCTTTTTCTAGTATTAGATCCTGTGGGAAGAGGCAGGCAACCATGGCTGGGTTCCATGTGCGCAAGCCTCCCGTGTATCCCTGTCCAACCCTGGAACTTGGTCACCTCGGGTTCACTTACTAACCTCTGTTTCAGTTCTCAGAGCTGCCTCCTACCAGCCCTGTGACCTTGGACGAGGACTCAAATCCCTGTGCCTCACTGTCCTCATCACCCTCATTCTCCTCTATTCTCTCTCTGAGCAGCTTTTGGAAAACTTTTTAAACCCTAACGCACGCTGTGTCCCTCTTCCGTTCACATCCCTCCACGGCTCCCAGGACTCTCGGATTGAAGGAACAGCCCCTCAGCCTCCAGTCCAGGCGACACTCCGCCTCACACTCTGTTCACTGTAGACAGAACACGGACCCCAGGTCCCCGACTCCTCCCGGCTCAGTCGCCTCCACGCCTCTCCCCCGCCGGGCCCGCCACCTGGGACCCTCTCCCACACCCGTCACCCCGGCTCTCAGAAACAGGCCCCACGAGCGCCTCCGCGTCCCGGACACCGGGGCCTGGGCTGCAGGCCCGTGAGCGGCGCCCGCACTCGGGGCTCTAGGGCTGGGCTGGGCTGAGGGCGGGGAGGGCGCGGAGCACGAGCACTGACCTGAGCCGGCTCCCTCCGCGCGGCCGCCGCCATCGGACTCCGGGGCGGAGCGGGGCCGGGAGCGGCGGGAGAGGAGGGGACCCGGGCACGGCGGTCCTGTCCCGGCCCTGGCGCGGGCCCCCCGGGCGGCGTCGCCGAGACTCAGACCCGCCCTGTGCAGCGGGGACGGCGCCTCCCCTCGCGCCTCCTTGGTCCCGTCACCTCACCCTCAACCCAGCAGTCTGGAACCAGAACACACCCACAGCACCCAAAATGGCCCCCTCGAGGAGGACGCCGGAAGTCCCGCGCCGACTCGTTGAAGTCGCACGGAAATGCTTTCACCCTGCTCTTTCATTGGCTCATCTCGGCGCAGGTTCTTCCGGGTAATGTAGTTCCTAGAGCTCTAGACACCGCAGGGAAGGTGTTCTCCATCCTAACCAACCAGTGAATTGGCCGCACTGAACCATGAGGAATGCTGCATATCCGTCCTCCTACCCACAGAAACGGGCTCTGCTCTTTGGTATAGGCAGCGAATACATGTAATTCAGACTTCAGCAGGTGAAAGTCCGCCTGCTGCTACAGGATAAAACGATTATTTAAAATGCTCCCAAATCTACTGATCTACATGGCCATGTCGTTCCATACAGTCTGACATAAAATGAATCCACGCGTTGTTGGACACATTATGTTACTGCTCTTCAAATGCGTGTAGCCTGAGGCAATAGTTTTGTGAGTTCTACTAAGATGGTGTCTTGACATGAGTACAGCCATGTTTGGCCGCTCCATTGACCTACAGCCACCAGCACAAAAAAGAAATATAAAAGCTGCTTTCTGCGTGGTGGGAACTGACCCTTCTCCCATGGAGATAGTTGCAATGTGTAAAAATTTCAAGGCCCTTTGGGTGCCGCAGCCTGGGACAGACTGGCCATCTGTGCCAGGCTGGGACGATAAGCAGTGTAAACAATGCACGTTCACAACTACTGGGCTGGGACGATAGCCAGGGGGCTCAGTGCACTTTTGCTACTGATAACCATTTGTGCATGGGAACACTAAATGCTTGCTCTGTAAACTCTGTAACTGCTTATATAAAATGCCGAAAACCAAGGCCTGGTGAGAGTTCCACCTGTGGAAGGGACTCCTTGCCCAGGACGTGTGATCCTTGCCCAGCTGTGTGGATTGACAGGACTCTCCTGGCAGGGGGGCGTGGATATTGTGAATAATTGATTTATTGTGGAGTAATTGATTTATTGTGAAGTAATTGATCTGATGTGTTCTCTTTTCCGTCAACTTGGTGTTTCTCTTTCCGGTTGATTTGTGTCATTTCCCTTCAGTCGATCTGGTGTTTCCCTTTCCAATTGATCTGATGTTTTTCCCTCTTATTATATGACCTATTCAAATCTGCTGCTATCTCAGCCGATGTGGATGTTTTCCTTTTCCAGTTGAGCTGGTGTTTTTTTCCTCTTATTATTTGACCTATTCGGATCTGTTTGTGGACTATCACCTTTACTATCCTTTATATAATAAAATATACCTTCAGACCATTTGTTTGGAGTGGAAAGTTTCTTTTACATCTCTGATCGAATCCTCGAACCTCTCATAACAGATGGGCTAGGAACAAGAGAAGAGACTCCATACAGGGCCATGACTGGGAAGAAAGAAGAGAGATATTCCAAATTAGGTAGACAAGCAGGAGTTCTACCTCTGGTTCCAATAGAAAACCTCTCTCTTGCCTGTAGAGTCAGTGACTGTGTCCTACCCCTTGAGGAACATTTTTATCCACATAATGTATCTTACTGCATATCCTAAGGTATGCTCAATTTCTTTTAGTGACAAGAGATCTACCTCAAGCGGAGAGCTCCTTAACTAAATCTGTTTTGGTATGGACCATTGGTTGCCACTCATAATCACAGCACGTGTGCAAATGAAGTATCTGAACACTGAGATGAAGGGGTCATCTTGACCCCATGATCTCATGTCCTTGCTAAGTAATTATCATTTTCCAGTGATTATAGGTAAAGTTCTTCATAGAGAATTGAGATTATCTCAGAAAAACTTTTGAAATGCAAGTTTCAGAAAGTTATTCATAGTGTTTATGTAGTTATTCAAAGATAGTGGCAGTGGGCCGGCCCCATGGCTTAGCGGTTAAGTGCGCACGCTCCGCTGCTGGCGGCCCAGGTTTGGATCCCGGGCGTGCACCGACGCACCGCTTCTCCGGCCATGCTGAGGCTGCGTCCCACGTGCAGCAACTGGAAGGATGTGCAACTATGACATACAACTATCTACTGGGGCTTTGGGGGGAAAAATAAATAAATAAATAAAATTTAAAAAAAAACAAAGATAGTGGCAGAAATGGCTCTAGGGAAATATCAGAGGATGTTGGAGAAAATTAACACTTCAGAGAAGTTTTGGTAGGGCTTTTATTCTCGAAAACATTAAGCAATATCCGCTAGGAGAAAGAATTGAAATGAACGTTGTGAGTAGCCGAATTAGTAAAAATGAACAAGAATTTGAGGTGTCAGTGTTTATTCATGGCTGTAACAAATGTCTATTGAGCAAATAGTATCAGATGCGGTTGTTGTAGGTGCTTGAGAGACATGACAAAGACCCCTGTGCTGGTGCAGCTTACATTTGGTAAAAGATAATAATAATAATAATAATAATAATAATAATAATAATAGTAATAATAAGGTGTTTTCACATATTGAGATATATGTGGAAGCCATTCTGGTTTAAATCTGATTTGGCCTAAAAGTTGTTCTTCAGCCAAAACGTGGAAGCAACTTGGGTGCCCATCAACAGATGAATGGATAAAGAAGATGTGTTATATAGATACAATGGAATACTACTCAGCCATAAAAAAAGACAATATCGTGCCATTTGCAACAACAGGGATGGACCTTGAGGGTATTATGCTAAGAAAAGTAAGCCAGACAGAGAAAGACAACCACCATATGATTTCACTCATATGTGGAAGATAAACAAACACATGGATAAGGAGAACAGATCAGTGGTTACCAGAAGGGCAGGGTGTGGGAGGGAGGGAGAAAGGGGTAAAGGAACACATATGTATGGTGACTAGACTAGACTATTGGTGGTGAACACAAGGCAATCTATATAGAAACTGATATATAATAATGTACACCTGAAATTGCACAATGTTATAAGCCAATATGACCTTAATAAAATAAATAAAAAAAGAAGTTAGCCAAAAAGTCAGTTTATGAATATTATTAGAAATTTGAATATATGGATTTTTATTACCTTACATTTTATTTAAATGTGGAATATAAAAAAGCCTAACTCATAGGAACAGAGTAGAATGGTGGTTGCCAGGGGCTGAGGGTGGGTGGGTGGTTGGGTAATGAAGAGATGTTGGACAAAGGGTACAAACTTTCCATTAGAAGATGAATAAATTCTGGGGACCCAATGTACGGATGGTCACTATAGTTAACAATACTGTATGACATACTTGAAAGTTGCTAAGAGAGTAGATCTGAAATGTTCTCACCAAAACGAATGGTTATTATGTGAGGTGATGGGAGTGTTCACTAATCTTCGATGGTAATCACTTCACAGTATATGTGTCTATCAAACTGTCACCTCCTAATCCTTAAACTTACACAATGTTATATGTGCATTATATCCCAATAAAACTTGGGAAGAAAACTTCAAGACGGCAAAAGAAAGAAACTGTTGTTTTTCCCGGAGCAGCCTGAGTTATGGCCCACCAAACATGTGTTGTACATCTGCTTCAAACATTTTCCCAAAGCAAAGAATGCACTCTTTAAAAATAGGGATGAATGTCTCCCTTTCTCTGACAGCAACACCAGAATTTCTTTGAAGATGAGCTTTTCTTCTCAGAGAACCTAGGTCAAGTTGACCTGTTGTATATGTGCTAAACTACAGCAAAACATCTCCTTGTGATTTTGGGGGAAAAAATTGTATTCCTGTCATGCTTGATGTATGTTCTTTGTTCTGAAACAATATATAACCATGCTGTAAACCACCCTTCTCCAAATGCTTTAAACACAGTTTCATTTACCCAGTGCACAGGAAAGCCAATAACCAAAATGTCAGACTTGTGGCAAGGAAAGAGGTTTATTATTGAGAGGCAGCCAGATGAGGCGATTGGAGGCAAAACTCAAATCCACCTCCCTGAAGGGAAAAAGGTAGGGATTTTTACTTGGGGTTTTAGGTAGAGTGGGGGAGCATGTGGTCTTGCTGGCTGGCATCTTCAGCCTGTGTTTGGTCTTGAAGATTGAATCTCTTTTTTTCCTTGACTGGGCTTTTCTGGTTAAATTTCATCGTTGGCATGCATTTGGCCTTTGAGGCTAAGTCTTTTTTCAAGTCTGGGCCTTGACTTTCTGGGAAAAACAGCTCGCCCATATAGTAAGGAGGGACAGAAAGACCTGGTTAATTTTAAAGATTTTATTTATTTATTTTTCCCCCAAAAGCCCTAGTAGATAGTTGTATGTCATAGTTGCACATCCTTCTAGTTGCTGTATGTGGGACGTGACCTCAGCATGGCCGGAGAAGCGGTGCTCGCCCGGGATCTGAACCCGGGCTGCCAGCAGCGGAGCACGCGCACTTAACCGCTAAGCCACAGGGCCGGCCCGACCTGGTTAATTTTAAACATCTGTTGATTATGATGAGTAGGCACAGCTGTGATTAGCAAAGCTTATCTCGAATTTTTGCTCTAGGGAAGATTTTAACTCCTTTGTTCTTGGTTTCACTTTCTTTCCTGGGGAAGATAACACTTCTGGGCTAGTCCTTAGCATGGCTCAATAAATATCAAAAAATATCACTGTCTTTTTTTATCTATAGATTGGTTATTGATTATTTGCATTGACATTTCTTGGAGTAGTCAGCAGGATTTTAGAGAAACCCACCTAAGACCACCTGGCATTTTTTTTGAACTGGTGCTTGGTAGCACCACGGGTCCACTGAGCCCCTCCAGCTTCACTGCACTCTTCAGGTGCCTCAATGAGTTGTCCTGAAATCCGGACCTTCTTGCTTAAGTTTACAGTCCTGATATATACTTGAGCTGTTTCAGGTCTTAAGACGTGGTGTCTTAAGGGAATACCGGTACATTTCCTAGGTAAGAGGAACCTAGGGGGAAATTTCCTAGGCAAGGAGGGGCATAAGGGGAACTTTAGAGTGAACTGGGTTGGCTGTCCTTTTAACATGGC